ATTTTTTAATCTCAATTTTGTCCTTCATTTTTTATTTCACGTTTTAATGCCGTAATATTAACATGAGAATTTGAGAAACGAAAACAAGAGATTCTCTTATCTGTATGGAATTTACTTAAGAAATAAAGGCTTTGTTTTATAGTCGACTATAAAGAATAGATATAGATTTCTGATAGTCACGGAATTTTTTTTTTCTCGTCAATTTCTTTCGGTCGCAAACTAATCTGAAAATGTCATGTGGACACAAAGTTCTATTCTCAGGTATGTTCTTTATCTTTTCTCAGGAAATATGGTCACCATATCTGATAAATGTTCTTTTTCCCTTCGGAGGATTAACAAAAGTTCAAGATTTTTTTCACTGTCGAAACAATATTTCAGACTATAAAGAATATGTATAGATGTCTAATAGTCACAGAATTTTGTTTTCCTCGGTGATTTATTTCGATTGCAAATTACATGGAAATGTCATGTTAAAACGAAGTCCTAAAATTTTCAGGTATGTCCTTCATTTTTCTCAGAAAATATGGTTACCGTACACGGAGAGAATTTTCTCTTATTGTTAGAATTTACCTTGGAAATCATGGTAATCGTGGAACAAAATTATATTGAAAGAATTTTATGAGAGTTTCTTTGATTTAGCATAATAAAAAATATTAATACGTAAATTTTATTATGTATATAGTAAAATTAATTAAACATATTTTATATCTTATTAATATTTTTATTGTAGTGAATATTAATTAAAGAAACTCTTAAAAAATTCTTCCAATATCATATTATAAATCCACGATTATCATATGAATTTCAGGATAAATTCCAAGAAGAAATTCTGCATTGTAAAATTTATATAAAACATTTGATATGTTTATCACTCTTTTGGTATCTTTTCTATTCAAAACACTAAAAGAATTATAAGTTTTTAATATATTTAAAAATTATTGACATTTTACTATATATTTTAGTAAAATTAACCAAACATTTTTTATGTATATTATTGTGATAAATATTTTTTTATTATGTTAAATATAATCAGAGAAACTCTTATATAAAAATTCTCCCAATATCAAAAAACCGACGATTATTATATAAATTTTAGGATAAATTCTAAGAGAAAATTCTGCATTGTTTATATAAAAAAATTATATAAAATATATATTTTATATTTATCATTTTTTTTGGCATCTCTTCTATTCAAAACACTAATATTTTTTTATTATATTAAATATAATCAGAGAAACTCTTCTATAAAAATTCTCCCAATACCAAAAACCGACGAGATTACCATCTGAATTTCAGGAATTCTAAATTCTAAGAGAAAATTCTCTCTCTGTGTATCTGATGAGTGCTCTAAAAGTTCCTCATTCCTCCGAAGGATCAACGAAAGTTCAAGCGGTGCGAAAATGTCGAATGGGGGTTGAAAAAAGGAAGAAGAGAAGAAAAATGTCTCGAGCGCCCGAGTGCATCACGCGTGAAAATATCGCTATCTGTCTTCGATGTATTTGCATTCCTACTCCGCAATGCACATTCCCTCCCGACTGCTGTCGGTGCTCTGCTCGTGCCAGGCCGTACAGCCTGGTACGAACGCTGCACTTCCAAGCCGGGGCCACTTCCTCTCCTCTGTTCTCCTCTCTAGTGCCATCAGTCCGTCTCTCTCTCTCTTTTTCTCATTGTCTCTCTCTCCCTAATCGGCGACCGCTTCTCTCTCTCTTGCTCTTGTTGAATGCCTCTTCTGCGATGATGATGAGGCATCCATGTACACAGAACGTGGCTTACTTACACATCTATGCTCTCACCTCCTCACTTTCCTTCGCGGATTTGTGATATATACGTTTCTGAATGTCGCGACCGAATAAGAGATCTCGATTCATGTATATATATATATATATATATATATATATATGTATGCAGGTGTAAGTAGAAAAATTTAGATGAAATGAAGTAGGCCATCAAATTCTTGGAGGTGATTTTTCCTCGGTGGAAATGTCGAGGTACCAGTTATTTTGAAGTTGCAATGTATATTGGAAAAGAAAAAGATTGAAGGAAATGTAGATTAAAGAATGTAATAAATATGAATTTATTAATATTTAGCAGGGTTGGGTAATGATTTTTTAAACTAAGCTTAATTGCTTATAAACAAAAAATTAACTCAGTTAAAATTTAAATTTATCAAAATTTATTTAATAAATTTGAATTTATTAAATTAAATTTATTTTATTTAGTTTTATTTTTATTAGAAAAAATTATGAGATGAAATATGTAAAATAACAAAAAGATAATCTAATAAGAATATAAGGAGATTCAATTGGTTGAGTATCTGCTCATATGTTAAAAGAATAAAAATATTTACAAAAATTCAATAAATAAATTGGTTAAATGGCTAAAGTGATAATGAATTAAATTTTACATTTTAATTAAAAAATATAAAGTGATGATTGATAAAAGGGAGGTAACTCCTTCTAATTTATTAGGAATTGAAGATTGCGTAGGCAAATAGAAAGTATCATTCTGATTGGATGTGAATACAGGTAACTCTAGGGTTTGCTGGAAGAAAATTATCTGGATCGCTAGAAATATAAGGAGTTTCAAAATTAATTAAAAAAAAATATTTAAAAAAATTATAAATTTAAAGATATCTTCTCACAAACTAAAGAGTAGAGTTTATTTTAATATTTTAATTTAAGTTACAAAAGCTTACAAAGATACACGATGACAAAAATTGGGAACACGCAAAAAAATGATGACCTCCTTCGGCATTTTTGCTGAGGAAAGAAAAATCGTCTCCAAATTGGTCAGGAAAAAAATGTTTAAATTGTTCACCGTGACCGTATACTTAAAGAAATATAATGCCTCGAGGAATTTATTTCGGGAACTGTCAATCTTCGGAGAAATAATCGCGCATTTTTTTCACTTCCTTAATTTCGGAGAATTATTATTATTATTTAGGAGAGCGATTTAAATCGACAAAATTATTCTCGCGCGTGTTGTGAGAAATTTATTCTGAAATCCCTCGTTTTATATATTACATTTGCATGTTTACACTTATATGTTAACGAGCGTATCTCGAGGGTTTGCGTGTTGAAAGACACGCGTGTGGCATTTTCTATTCACGCGTTCCATCCGCGAGAGCGCGTAATCGTTCCTTTTTTTCCCCCTTTTTTTTAAACATTAATCCCGACGATTGCGCGCGGCGATCGCAGGATCGTTTTCTCGTCCAAGGACGATGCATCAAGGATCTTCCCGCGAAAGTCTCCGTAAACAGGCCGTGATTGCCATCGCGGCGCGATAGATCCTTTTAAGAGATAATTTTTCCCCTGAAAAATGCGAAATGTAAATTGGAAACGCACGATATATAATATATAATAACTGCGAGAGTCAAGGAAAGCTCATTAACTCTTCTCCTTAGGAGGATACGCAGTTGGAAATTATTCTCTCCTTTATTTAGAACGTTGATGAGCGGGAAAATTCAGACAATGGATATGGATCTCCCAGAGCCTCGTTTTCATACAAAATATTGGAAAATATAATTTATTAGATATTATCTGAATTACCGTGAATTATTATAATTCCGTCATTATAATTGTATTTCGAGAATTAAGAATTATTATAATTACCTTGTTTTTATTTTTTAGAGTATGAAACTCAAATTTTTTAATTTATTAATTTTTTTTATCGATAATACTTGGAGCAAATCGAATTTCTTTTTAATTCTCAAAACAATGTCGCAAATTTCTATTATTATAGGAAATGTTATAATGCGTTGCATAACACAAGCTAATTGTATTCTTAGAAGAATGAAAATTATCATAACTTCAGTTTTAAGTAATCGTGTCATTAAAAAGAGAGAGGCACGTTTTTTTTATTGTTTTCCTCATCGTCGCTAATAATTCAAATGACGCATCGAGTCGCGGCATTCGAATATCAATAGAGAGAGACACATTTGCATAACGACACTCGTGAAAAATTCCGCATCGTTATGCAAATGATCCTTCCCTCATTAGTCGATAGACAAAAGTCACCTGCAAACAAAGGCCAAGATACGCGAGACGCCGGCAGCTTCTTATCGTCGTCGTTTTTTTTTTATCTCGTCTCACGATGCTGCGCAGCAAATTCAGATCGTTTCATAAGCATCGTCGTGCGATGTTTGGATCAACTATCTATTGTCTGCAAAATAAAATTCCAAAGTAAAACATCTTGTTACCAATTTTTTTTTATATTTTAATTAATTTTTATATTTATTTTTTATATATTATATTTTTTTATTTTAACAATCAAATTATATTATTATATTATAAATTATATTAATTGATATGAAATTAATTTTTATGCAATCTCGATAAGAAATATTTTTTCCGTTTATGTCTTTGCAAAATTAATTGAAACTATTAATTTCAATTTTATTATATACAATTTAAATTAAATGTAGATTTAAATTGATTCAGTTTTTAATTCTAGATTCTCATTGATTTAAAACACAAAAAGATTTATTTATACGCCGAAAAAAAAATTATTGAATTCGAATAAGTATTTATTTCAATACTGCCTAATAAATCATTTATTTGAAACTAATAATATTGATGTGAGAAATATTTATTTGTCTCAAATAAATAATTTATTAGGCAGTATCGAAGTAAATATTTATTAATTTAATAATTTGTTTTCAATGTAAAAAATTTATACGTTTTATAGTACTCATTCGGTGACATTTGGGAATTTTGCGGTGTTTGAAGAGGTTCCAGGTTGAATTTCTAATCCCTCCGGCGTTTTATGGAGCGCGAAGAAACACAATAATCGAGGTGACGAAATGTGCGAAAGTTCATCGGGTCTGAGGATTCGCTCGGACCCGATCGAGGAATTCTGCCTTCTAATTCTATCCTGCGGTTACACCTAGAAACGATGGCAATTCCCCGTAGCAGGCAGGCATTGAACCTTTCACCTATCACGGCAGCGATATTGCTTCTCCGGCCGATCCCTTCATCGCTCTTCTATGCTTTCTGTTGCAGGCGACGGCTGCGGGAACAACATGTTCAGGTGCAACGATGGCAAATGCATACAGTCGATCCTCGTGTGCGATTATCGCGGGGACTGCGACGACAATAGCGATGAGATGCAGTCGTGTCGTAAGTATCGGAATCCTTTCCTTATCGTTGACCTTAGAAAGGAAAAGACAAAAATATAGATTATATTAATTCATATTAAATTAACTTATGCAATCTTAATAAGAAATTTTTTCCACATTATGTCTTTGCAGAATTAATCAGAAAATAAAAATAGCAAAGATATTAAGGGGATGCTGATCATGACTGTTTTACCAACTTTGAGTTCAAGGGCTTTTTATTGGCTATACAGATTGAAAAATCCTTCTCCACAATTAAAGTACTAATAATAATAATCGGGGAGCGCCGCAATTTCGTATAAAAAACAATAAAAGTTAAAAAATTACAGTTTTTTTATCGGCCTCTTGCATCAGCTCGTAACAATACTTATTTAATACAAAAGTTCTGCAGTTTATTTGTGCACAAAATATAGCGCTCCCAATAGAAATGACATGAAAGAACTCATTTATTATTATCAGTACTTTTATTGTGGAGGATTTTTCAATCTGTATATTCAATAAAAAATGAACCTAACCTAATTTAAAGTCGGAAAAACAGAACAACGGCAGCATCCCTTAAGGCTCCTAGCTCATAGACGAGAAAACACACATTAACAATTTTTAGATGCCATGTTGAACTAAAAAGATATTTCGATGAAATGTAGCAGGTCTTAAAATACCTTGAAAATCACCCTTTTCTTTTTATAATCGCGCATGCGCATGATTTAGTCTGATATCACGATAATGATTATTGATTGACTGCCAAGAGCAAAGAATAGTTTTGAAGATATTTTAAAAGTGTGTAAAATATATCTATTCGTTTAAAAATGGCATTCAACAATGAGAATTTTCAGCGTGTGCTTTTTCGTCTCTGACGTCACAATCTGACATAGCCGCGAGGAGCCTTAAGCGTATAGTTTTTATTACGTCTCGCGGTAGTTTCAGAATTAATATAGCTCTGTTATGACTCGAGTGTTGTATTGAAAATATACAACAGATACGCAGATATGAATGTTCTCTTTTCGAGAGAGATGGATAATGGCTTCTCTGTGCGATTGAAATCGGTTCGCAAATTATTGGTCTTCTTCGAAGAAAAATGCCTCGGAAAACACAATACTTTATATATAGTCGTGTTCGCAATTTGCATAAATTAAGCCGAGTCGTTCTATAAATTGCTACTCGATCGCACGCAGACGAGAAATAATTATTATACGATGCATCCTGCGTTTAGATGCAAGGATAGCGAAGACGAGCTCGATACCTCTTCGCCGATAAAAGAAAAAGAACTCGTCACTCACTTTATTATCCTTATATTGTTACGCGTTTAACTTTATCTTGCGTTATTACATCATATTCTCTCCCGTAACATCGATAAATATATATGTAGCGTATATGTATAGTAAAAGAGCGAGGCTGGATTTTTCGAAGAAATTGGAGCATGTCTTCGAACGTGCAATTTAATCGGAAAGAATGCTCCACTACTTGCGCTGATGAATAATTAATGGCGAAGTGCTTCGTTAAGTAATAATAAAGAGGGATGCGTGTATAATTCGCGATCGCCCGCTGCCCCCATTACTCGGTTCGCGGTGAAAGAACTTTCAGAATGAAGCCATCGCCTTCATTCAGTACTCCCTGCCGTCAAGTGTGTGTATTTGTGTATGTGATGGTGTTACGGTCCGTGAAGATCCTACATGAGAGGCGACCCGCGCGTGAAGAAATTTTTTTTCCTTTTTTTTTTTTTTGCGTAATTTTTATCGAATCGTCGCTTGACGTTTTATTCTTCGCGGAAAATTTTGGATCCCTCGGAAATAAAGCTGAGAATAAATGTTTATTATTTTCTCTTGGAATTTTAAATTCTCTGAAAATTATGGTAATATGGTGGGACAACGTATGGTATTGGAAGAATTTTATAAGGGTTTCTCTGATTAATAAAATTAAAACAGAATAATAAAATATGTTGGATTAATTTTACTATGCGGAGAGAATTTTCTCTTAGAATTTGTATCTTAAAATTCATGATAATTGTGGGACAATATGACATTGGAAGAATTTTATAAGAGTTTCTTCGATTAATATTTACATCACAATAAAAATATTAATATCTACCACTATAAGATATAAAATATGTTTGATTAATTTGATTAAAACATGTAATAAAATTTCAATAATAGTTTTAAAATCTATTAAAAACTAATGATTCTTTTAAGTGTTTTAAATAGTATAGATGCCAGAAATGTGATAAAATATTTTACATGAATCTTATAATGCAGCATAATATTTTCAATCCAGCTTAATCGTTCATGATAATTTTAACACGCAGTAATTTTCGGTTTATTATCAAACATAATAAATATTAATCAAAGAAACTCTCTTATAAAGTTTTTCCAATACGATATCGTCCCACGATTAAGTACCATGATTTTCAAGATAAATTCTAAGAGAAAATTTTCTCTCTCTGTGTAAGAGATTAATATTTACCACAATAAAAAATATTAAACATCTACCACAATAAGATATAAAATGTTTGATTAATTTTATTAATATATATATATTTATTATGGTAAATATATTAATCAGAGAAACTCTCATAAATTTTAAGAGAGAATTCTCTCTGCGCACTTTAAATAAAAAAGTTTTTTTCCTTTTAATAATAGAGAAAAAATTGCCGGACAAAATAACAATGGACAGAAATATAGAATAAAAATTATAAGAGAAAATGGACTTTTTTCGAGTCTTCTTCGAGCGTTAAAATAGAAAATTCTCTCTGTATAGTCGAGAACTCGCGAAATTCTGTTCCAAACCGTTGATCCGTGTTGAATTTTTTTTCAACTAATTATACATTATATGTATATGATCGCGGCCTTGGAAGAGCGGAGCCGCATTTTTCGAGCGCTCTCTTCCTGTTTGCCCGCCGATCCGTTCCAACGAATGGAATAAACTCGGCTCAGGGAACCTGATGGAGGTATATACATACGGCTTACAGCAAATCTCTCGCGTGCCGGAAGTGCCTCGACGAAAATCCGAGGCTTCCTCTCGGAAGTGGCTTTAGCTCTCTTTGTCTAGCGTTTTTTTTTTCACGTAGTCGATTACGTGACCGCTTTTTTTGCGATTGCGCTCCTTATCGTCGAATTTACGTTGCCAGGAAGTGCAATGCAATTTGTTGCATTAGCCTTCCGCGCAAACAAGAGTGAACCAATGTCATTTGGGGACTTGAAGGCGGAAAGAAGGAATCTCTTATTTGTCGCAAACAGTAGAAGTTTCTTTTGGAATATATTTTGTAAAAGTAATTAACTCGAGAGAGATATAGGATCTTCAAAAAATTATTTTTTAAAGGAACTGGAATTTTAAGAGTCTATTTTTTGGGGGTATTGAATTTTAGCTATTTGAGGAAAATGGGATTTTTTGAAAAAAATTTTTAGGATCTCTAGAAAATTATTCTTTAAAGAACTTTAATTTTAAGGATTTATTTTTGGGGAGATTAAATTTTAGTATTATTTTGAGGGAAATGTATAGATTTTCTGAAAAGAATTATTTTCGAATTAGGATCTTCAAAAAATTATTCTTTGAAGGAACTGGAATTTTAAGGGTCTATTTTTTTGGGGTATTGAATTTTAGCTATTTAAGGAAAATGGGATTTTTTGAAAAAAATTTTTAGGATCTCTAAAAAATTATTCTTTAAAGGAACTTTAATTTTAAGGATTTATTTTTGGGGGATTTAATTTTAGTATTATTTTGAGGAAAATGTATGGATTTTCTGGAAAAAATTATTTTCGAATTATAGGATTTTCAAAAATTATTCTTTAAAGGAACTGGAATTTTTTTAAGGGTTTATTTTTTAGGGGTATTGAATTTTAGCTATTTGAGGAAAATGGGATTTTTTGAAAAAAATTTTTAGGATCTCCAAAAAATTATTCTTTAAAGGAACTTTAATTTTAAGGGTCTTTTTGAGGGAATTAAATTAGCTAATTTTGAAGAAAATGTATGGGTTTTCTGAAAAACGATCGGTTGCATATTTTGTTCTACCTAGATCATCGTGCCTCACAGCGGGACCGTTTGTTATGCGGGTGACAACGCAAAACCGGAAGCAAGGCTATGACCCTCTTTCGAGGACGGCGTGTTAAAGTACCGTGTGTCATTCGATGAAACGGATCCACTGGCACGATTATATCTCGTTTTGCGCAGAATCGGTTCCAATCTCGCGAACTAGAGGGACTTTCTTCAATATCCATCTCCCTTCCATCGATCGTTCCAATCTATTGGAACAAAATTTTTATTTTTTTCTTTTTAAGTCAAATTTTGCTCCAATAAATGGAATTGCTCCAAAAATTTTGATAAATAGACATGATTTTTTCGAAATGTTAGAGCAAGAATAAGGACGAAATTCCTGTTTTATAATTTTATAAAGAGTCTTATCTGAAGATACGAGAAAAAATGTCGCTTGAAACACACAATTATATATTTTTATTTTCTTTACTTTGAATGTATTAATCTAATCTTTTTATATAGGCATTTATTTCCAATGTATAAATTTCTTTTATAATCGTATATTTTTATTTTAATTTGTTTATGTAGTTACTGAAGATGGGACTGAAAAGGTTTAATTTTTAATTATTCCTCGTTTGTAGCTCTTTTTTTATTAATCAAAATCCTACATTTATATTATCATATTCAGAGTTTTTTTATTTTATTAAATTAAAAATATATTTTTTTTTAGAGGGAACAAAAAAGGGTTTAAAGAATAAAATCTGTGATTAGAGATTTATTTAATTTATCGATATTATATCAAGAAAAAATTAAAGCGCAACAAAGTTTCAACAAAAAAAATGTTTTTTCTTGACAAATATTAATATCTACTACAATATACGATGTAAAAAAATGTTCGATTAATTTTACTATGTATATTAATATTTTTTATTATGATAAATATTAATCAGATAAACTCTATAAAATTCTTCCAATACCATATTATTCCACACTGAAAAACAATTTATGCACTTGACTAAATTGTTCAACTAAATTGTCATTTTGTTAAGATATATTAATATTTAAATCAAATATACGTTTTGTTAGATTTAGTATGTTATATTTTAATTTAAATATTTCTATATGATCAATTAACAAACTAATATTTAGTTGAACGATTTAGCTAAGTTAACAAATTTTTTTTAGTGCACGATTTTTAAGATAAATTCTAATAGAAAATTCTCTCTATATAAAAATATACTTTTTGCGCATTATTTGGGAAAGAGAGATGAAATTGGAGCGATCGGGGATCCCGGCGCGATTATGTCGGATCATCCGGTTTTAAATGATCGGGGGAGCTTCCCTTCAAATCGCTCGGCGAATCTCGACGACCGGCTGATTTTAATGCAATTATTAGCACCGGTGCAATCTGTTGCGCTCTCCGGTTGCACGAATGATTCTTCGTGCAAATTCTCAACAGCAGCGCTTTGTGACACGCCATGTACACCTTTTTATTACCAGCTTCTTATACGGGGATAAAGGAATACCAGTGATAAATATTCAACGAGGAAGAGGTCCCTTTTGTACGTCCACGAAGTGTATTTTGAATTCCTGATCGTGTCGAAGACAATAGGGTTTGTGGGAGATATGTTTTTTGGGTGTCTGTGAAAGAAATTGAATAATTCAATTTATGCGGACAGTTAATAGCAATTAGTACAACTGCACATTATGTGCAAATATTGAACTTACTGATCGAATGAATGGAGTTTGGGTCTCGAGATCAATGTTATTGGACATTAATTAGCCTAATATTTAGGGTTCTTATTGTTGACCCAGATCCATCACTCTTACACATCAAATAAAAGGAGTTTGTTCTTAAGATCAATGTTAGTGGACAATATCCTGATATTTAACATCATAATATTTAACATCATAATATTTAACGTCCTAATATTTAAGATACTTATTATTGCGAATCCAGATCTAAACAATATTGTCCTAATATTTAAGATTTTTATTATTGAGGACTTGTCAGCTCTATCAATTTTACTGATCAAATAAAAGAAGTTTGATCAATGTTATTGGACAGTATCATCCTAATATTTAAGATTTTTATTATTGCGGACTCAGATCTATCAATTTTACTGATCAAATAAAAGGAGCTTAGTCTCAAGATTAATGTTATTGGGCAGTATTGTATTAATATTTAAGATACTTATTATTGCGGACTCTGATCTATCAATCTTACTGATCCAATAAAAAGGTCTCAAGATCAATGTTATTATACAATATAATTTTTATTATTGCAAACTTAGATCTATTAATTTTTCTGGTCAATAAAAGGAATTTGGGTCTCAAGATCAACATTATTGGACAATATAATCCTAATATTTAAGATTCTTACTGATCCAATAAAAGATGTTTGGTCTCAAGATCAATATTATTGGGCAATATTATTCCAATGTTAAAGATTCTTATTGCGGATCCAGATCTATCAATCTTACTGATCCAATAAAAAATATTATACAATATAAGTTTTATTATTGCAAACCCAGATCTATTAATTTTTCTGGTCAATAAAATGAATTTGAGTCTCAAGATCAATATTATTGGACAATATAATCCTAATATTTAAGATTCTTACTGACCCAATAAAAGATGTTTGGTCTCAAGATCAATATTATTGGGCAATATTATCCCAATGTTAAAGAGTCTTATTGCGGATCCAGATCTATCAATCTTACTGATCCAATAAAAACATTTAGGTCTCAAGATCAATATTATTACACACTATTAGCCTAATATTTGACAATCTTGTTATCGCGCACGCGGATCTATCACTCTCACTGATCTTTTAATCTCTTAATTGATCTTTCAGCGCCGCCTGATTGTGAGATCGGCCAGATCACGTGTGGCCAGTACAGTTTTAACAAGACCTACTGCATACCCCCGCATCAGAGATGCGACATGACCGTCGATTGTGTCGACGGCACCGACGAAGACGGCTGCAGTGAGTACAAATTGCAATTAGCCATCCCCGGCGTTGATCCTCGTTTATTTTCATCGTATCGGCATGTCGGGTCGGTCGAGAACAAAATCTCGGCAAATTACACTCGTAAAAATACGCCTGATATAAGTGTTTGCTAATGAATGAAAAATTGTACCTTCTTCGAAAAACGTAAATCTTCATGACTTTTATATATGTCAAAATTATTGTTGAGGAAAGTATATCGCAAAGAAAAATATTAGCTGTTATATTTTTAACTATAATTATTGAAATTAATTTTATTTTAACTTGGTGGTACCGTTTCTAAAGTTTAGTTATGGTAATTATTATTTTTTTCCCATGCAATTTTTTAAAAGCTTACTTTTCAGTTAAAAATACGGTCTGTCTATCAATCGGAAATTAAGGATGCGTGAAAATTAGATTCATCGTGATATCGCTTACGTGCAATCAATTGAGAAAATGATCTATGATAACTAATACTTTTAACTATATAATTTAATTAATTTAATCTTAATTTAATTTAATTATTTAATTTTAGTAGGGGAATTTTTCCAACTAAACTATAATTTAAAAATATTATATTTTTATTTTATATTTTTATATTATATTATTTTTATTTATTTTTATATATTGTATTTAATTAGTTAAAAATATAATTATACCATTTCTAAAATTCAGTAGCTAATATTTTTTCCGTGCAATTTTTTTCAAGCTTATTTTTCAGCTAAAAATATGGTCTGCCTGTTAATTGGAAATTAAGGATGCGTAAAAATTAGATTCATCGCGATATCGCTTACGTGCAATCAACTAATTTGCAAATAACTTTACGCAAAGATTTTATATATATATATTCTTCTCTCTCCTCTTTCTCTTTCGATACGGAAGTATAAATAAATCGGGGTATTAACGAGCGACATTATCAATTATTGCTGTGTCGAGGAATATGACACGATAACATTATCGCGGATGACAAGGTCGCTCGCATAAGAGCGTGATTAAGTAGCAGCTGCGCAGCGATTAGGCAGATTCTTCTTCTTCGTGTTAGGAATTATTAAATTGTCGGCGCCGTGACACTCGCCGCAATTTATGCATGTTATTTAATCGACGACATTACTACGTCTGTCGCGAGGTTGTCAAAATTCAGACCGACGTTTATAAACATTCTATTTGCGCTGCTGATAACATTTCTCTCTTTCGAGATATGTTGCAATGTTCTATAACATAAAAAAAAATAAAAAAAGATACAAGAGCGTGCACTTGATAATTATTTTTCATTTATTATCTTAATTATTTCTCGATTATTTCACAGAAGAACGTCTCGAGTTTTTCAAAAGAAGGAGCAGAGAGGCAGTACTTTTCTACGAAGACGTTCCGTGCTGGTTACAACTCGATCGTGATTTTAAGAAATTTTCGCAAGCTCCGTTTCTCTCTCTACCTTGCTTTTCTCGCTTTTCTCTTATCTTAATATCGCACGAAGCAAGCGAGAAAAGTCACGTTCCGAACGTGTCAGCGCATTTATCGGCGAACGTGTCGTAACAGGTGATATGGTCGCGCATTTGTGGTTCGCAGTTAAATGTAAATTATCACGCGACACTCTACACGGATCCCGAAGAAGCGTGATCAACTCCCGATTTTGACGTTTCGTTATGTAAAAGTGACACGGCGCGCTTTGCTCCACTCGTCACGTTTTCGCGTTTACTGACGCGAGATGCCTTGATTTTTTCCTCATACACGGAAGAGGCTCATTACAATGATTTTTCACGGATTTTTTTGCGTGAATTTTTTTTTTTTTTTCATTGACGAATATCCTAAAAAATGAATATGCTTAATTAATTAAAAATTTATTTAAAAAAAGATTCATAACATATTTATCATAAAAAAATCTCGTTTTAATGCTTCACAGACATTCTTTCGTGAAAAAAATAATTGTTTTCCGTTGACAGATATCCTGAAAAAAATTTAAGGAAAAAATGAATATGCTTGATTAATTAAAAATTAATTAAAAAAAAAATATATAAAATATTTGTCATAAAAAAATCTCGTTTTAATGCTTCAACTCTTCACAGACATTCTTTCGTGAAAAAAAATAATTGTTTCCCGTTGACAGATATCCTGAGAAAAATTTAAGGAAAAAATGAATATGCTTGATTAATTAAAAAAAATATATATAAAATATTTGTCATAAAAAAATCTCGTTTTAATGCTTCAACTCTTCACAGACATTTTTTCGTGAAAAAAAATTATTGTTTTCCGTTGACAGATATCCTGAGAAAAATTTAAGGAAAAAATGAATATGCTTGATCAATTAAAAATAAATTTTTTTAGAAAAAAAATACTTTGGAAGAATGACAGGAATGCGATGTGTGTTGCAGCGTACCGAAAGTGCCAGCCGGACGACTTCAGATGCGTCGGAACGACCCCAGAGCTTTGCATACCCAAAGAAAAGAAGTGCGACGGTTACCTGGACTGCCGGAACGGCAGAGACGAGGAGAGATGTGAGAACAACATGAAGCCAGCCTGTCGCCTGGACCAATTCAGGTGTAACACCACGCAACGCTGCATCGAGCAAAACGCGAGGTGCAATCACCGGGACGATTGCGGTGACAACAGCGACGAGGAACACTGCAGTGAGCTGGCTGTCTTTTTTCCCTTTTTTTCCCTTTCGCAGCACTTTCGTGCGGTTTGCTCCTCTAACTCTCACTGTCGAGTTTCACAAAATCCTGAGCTACGAAAATCAGCTGATTTTATCAGGATCCAATTTCGAGATTGGATCTTTCAATATATATTTTTTATTCTTATTTTGATTATTTTTATTTTATTTTAATAAATTAAAATTGATATTGCGTTTTAATAAGATATCAAAAATATTGTATTTTTTTAATTATAAGAAGTTTAATATTTTATATTTAATATTTAATTTAATATTTTATATTTAATATTTAATTTAATATTTTATATTTATAATATATATTTATAATTTAATATATAATATTATATAATAATAAATAATATATAATAATATATTTATAATTTAATCTTTTATTTTAAATCGATGATTAAGAGACTTGGATGAATTCGCAGATTTTCCACCCTGCACCAGCGACCAGTTTCGATGCGCGAATGCACTCTGCATCCCCATAGCATATCAATGCGACGGTTATAAAGATTGCCAGGACGGTTCCGACGAGAAGTCTTGCACGATGACAGTCTGTCCAGGAAACAAGTTTATGTGCCCAAAGGGTACACCGGATGGAAAACCGTTATGTATCAATCGATCTCAGCTGTGCGATGAAAAGCAGGACTGCGAGGATGGGGCGGATGAGGAAGCAGCATGTTGTAAGTGCATTTCTATTCTATTATCTCTTATTATCATCGATATTAAATGCATGAAACGTCAATATAAAAGAATCACATACATACAATGTGTTTAAAAGACCTATTGTATTTTTTTTTTTTTATAATAATAGCCGTCATTAAATAGTTATATAAGCCTTGCTCGTAATTATCATGTATGAAGAGTACGCAAATAATAAAAATAATATCATATTTTTCTATCCTTTAGCGACAAGTATGTGCGGCTCGCTCGGCTGTCAACACAAATGTCAAGCGTCCCCCACTGGGGGGACTTGCTACTGTCCCGAGGGAAGAATACTCACCAATGATTCCAGGACGTGCGTTGGTAAGTTATTTCGTTTGCGAGAAATTCATACAAAAATTTAATATTTTTTATATTTATATTTATATTTTTTTATATTTATATTTTTTATTTATATTTTTTATCATATATATTATTGTTTATATTTTTTAGTATTTATTATTATTTATATTTTTTATTATTTATATTTATATATTTATATTTGTATTTGTTCATCTTCAGATCGAGACGAGTGCTCCGAGTGGAACTTCTGCGACCAGCTGTGCGAGAACACGGACGGTTCGTACATATGCCACTGCGCGCCCGGCTACGTCCTTCACGGGCGCAACAAGTGTCGCGCCCAGAACATGTCCGCCCTGGAGCTTCTGCTCGCCCAGGAACGCGCGATCTACCGATTGAGCACGACCAGCGAGGACCGGAAGATAATCGCGAACACCACCGGAGCCAGTGGGGTGGACTACCTGCACTCGCGGAACCTGCTCTTCTGGAGCGACATGAAGACGCGAAAGGTGCACTCGGAATCCCTCAACCTCGGCAGCGACGCGCCATTGGTAAAATTAGACATCAGTATGGCGGGCTCCTGGGGACCTATAGCCATTGCGATTGATTGGATCGGCGACAAGCTCTACGTCGCGGATTCCATCGTGCAAAAGGTGGACGTGTTCGAGTTGGACGGACGTTATCACGGAATCGTCGTGGGTTCCAATCTGACCAGTCCGGCCGATATCGCGCTGGATCCCACGAGGGGTCTCATGTTCATTGCTGACAGCAAGCAGGTTCTTCGTACGAACATGGACGGCACTAACGCGTTTCCTGTTGTCTCCGAAGCGGCTTACAAGGTCTCCGGCGTGGCCGTGGACATCATCGCCAAGAGGATTTACTGGTGCGACTCCCTGCTGGATTACATCGAGACGGCGGACTACAGAGGTCGCAACAGAGTTATGATTCTCAGAGGTTCACAAGTGCCATCCCCAATCAGACTCACCCTCTTCGAGAACAGGATATTCTGGACGGACGGCACCAAACAAGCCGTCATGAGCGTCGATAAGACTCAGGGAGATTATTCTATCCAAAACATATTTAAGGTACGAATATAAAAATTAATTTTAGAATTTGACAAAAGCATTTAGCATATGCTTTAATAAATCGAATTAATGGCTGATGATCAAATATTGATTACGTTAATATCTGTTATTATTCTTTCTTGAAAAATTCATAAAGACGATTCGAAGGATTTGCATTTATATTGTAGTGTTTAGTATCATAATCTCTTTTGAAGGTACGCGACGCCAAGGCTATAAAAGCCTTGCATCCGCTTTTACAACCCAGCGTTTCCAATCCCTGCGGCAATAACAACGGTGGTTGCCAGCACATGTGCATCGTCACCGCCTCGAGCGATCAAAACAATCGATTAGGCTATCGTTGCGCCTGCCACGTCGGATGGCGGTTGGCAAGCGACATGAGAAACTGCAATTTGGTGCAGGAGTTCCTCATGTATTCCCAGCAGAGGTTCATTAAGGGCCGCGTCCTGAATCCCGTAATGGAAGGCTTCAGCGACGCCATCCTACCGGTGGTATCCAGACGAGCGCGATTCGTGGGACTTGATTACGACGCGCACGATCAATACATATATTACAGCGACGTTCTTCAGGATGTCATATACAGAGTACACCAGAACGCGACCGGACGAGAAATTGTTTTGGCCAGCCAAAACGAAGGCGTGGAAGGACTCGCGGTCGACTGGGCTGCGAAGAACTTGTATTACATTGATTCGCGCAAAGGTTCGTCGATAATAAAATCTCATTAAGCTTGAGTTGTCAGTTTTCAAGTTTAATTCACTTGTCATACCAATTTGAGACAATAATCAATAGAGAGATTTGTAAAGAGCTGTAAGTCTTAGCTGGAGTTTTCTTTTATTTCTTCCAGGCACGTTAAATGTACTCAGCACTCGCAACGTCACGTATCGGCGAACACTCCTGAAGAATCTCAAGCGTCCTCGCGCGATTGTGATTCATCCGAATCACGGCTACATCTTTTTCTCCGAATGGGATCGTCCGGCTAACATCAGCCGAGCTCACGCAGACGGCTCCAACCTAATCGTCTTTAGGAATCTGACCTTGGGTTGGCCGAACGGACTGGCTATCGACTTCAACAAGGACCGACTTTACTGGTGCGACGCTCTCCTAGATCACGTGCAGCACTCGAACCTGGACGGTACGGATGTGCGTACGGTAAACTCGAGATTGATACGACATCCGTTCTCCATCACTATCCACGAGGAATGGATGTACATCACCGATTGGCGTCTCGACGCCATCATCCGGCTGCACAAGGAGACTGGCGAGCAGGAGGCCATCCTGGTACGCGAGCCCGCCACCAACAGGCTTTACGGCGTGAAAGTCTTTAGTCGCGAGATTCAAATGATGACAGTTAATCTTCCTTGCTCCATCAACAACGGCGGTTGCGAGAAGCTTTGCTTCGCTATTCCACATAACTCCTCCTCCGACATTGTGTTCCCCGGCGCGCCATCCAGGGGAAAGCTCACTCAGGTGTGCGGATGTCCCTACGGAGAACGGCTTCAGAACGATGGCAGAAGTTGCGCCGCGGATCCCGACGGGGAACCACCCTTGCAAGCCTGTCCTCATACTTGGGATTTCACTTGCGCAAATCAGAGGTGAACAGCAATATATATTACTCATTATAATCAATTAATATATGTAGCAATATCCTTGGAAAGTTTAATCCAATAATAACTGCAACAACTTTCACTATTTTAATTTTAATTAAATATTTAATTATAATCTTAATCGAAATCCGTTTCCAGGTGTGTGCCCAAGTCCTGGGTGTGCGACGGCGAGAACGATTGCTTAGACAACAGCGACGAAATGCAAAACTGCACGAAGCCGACGTGCAGCACAAACGAGTTCCAATGTAAATCCGGTCGCTGCGTACCGATGACCTTCCACTGCGACACCGAGAACGATTGCGGCGATTATAGCGACGAGATGGGCTGCCCAAACGTCACCTGCAGCGCCAATCAATTCGCCTGCGCCAACAACCGTTGCATCCCCGCGACTTGGAAGTGCGACTCCGAGAACGACTGCGGCGACAGCTCCGACGAGGGCGAATTCTGCGCGGCGAAGACCTGCTCGTACTTCCAGTTCACCTGCCCGCGTTCCGGCCACTGTATACCGCAGTCCTGGGTGTGCGACGGCGACAGTGATTGCTTCGACCAGCAGGACGAGATGGATTGTCCACCTGTCACCTGTCTCAGTTCGCAGTTTACGTGCGCGGATCAGAAGATGTGCGTTTTAGCGTCGTATAAGTGCGACGGTATCAGTGATTGCAACGACGGCTCGGATGAAGTAGGCTGTCCGTCGCTAGCGCCGGATCAGTGCAACGTCGACAAGCAATTCCGCTGCGTCAGCTCGGCAATTTGTATACCGAGGAGTTGGTACTGCGACGGTACCGCGGATTGCCCGGACAAGTCCGACGAACCGGAATCATGCGGAAAGGTGGACTGCCAGACTGGATTCTTCAGGTCCGTCGCAGTTCTTTGTTCAGGGTTGCCGCAAAAAATGAATTCTGAAATTACCTGACTTTTCCAGACGACAATGCGGAAATTTCCCATTACCGCAATATGTGTAACCTTAAATTTAGAAGTAGGAATTAGGAAAGAATAGCTTATATTATTAGAAACAATACAAAACACAAACTTGGAAGTTTAATAGTATAACGTAATTCTGAATTTAAATCAACAGAAAAAAAATGCAGAGAAAATAAGTAATAAGAGAAAAGTCAAAAACATTTGATAAAAGATATATTTTAATGTTTAATTTACGTTAAAAAAAAATAAAATTTAAGTTTTTACAAACCTCTAAAAATATTAAAATTGAAATAAACTTAACATTGGTAAATATATCTAATTTCTACATTAAATTTCAAAAAAGGAACAATTTTTAATATATATTTTAAAAATAATAGCTAATGCATGGACTAGTATATAAGATGCAATAATATTGAGCATTTATGGGAAATGGTGAGCAAAATTCAAAATTCCAGGTTCATTTCCACATTTCCCTGATTCTTCCAGGTTTTCCCTGACTAATTTAATATTCCATGACTTATCCCGGTTTTTCAAGTTTGTGGCAACCCTGTTTGTTCAATTCTTGCCTTTTACTCTTTAAACTCGAGCAACAAAAATAAAAGGTGTATTTTGTATTTGATTTTTGATTAATTTGAGCTTTATTTGATTCTCAGGTGCCAGAATGAGAGATGCGTGTTCAAGGCGTATATCTGCGACGGCAAGGACGACTGCGGAGATGGTTCCGACGAGAACACCGAATTGCACGCGTGCGGTCCTCCCGTGTTCAAATGCGATTCCGAGCAGTGGAGTTGTCCGAACGTGACGAACCGCTGCGTGAACGTGAGCAGCGTGTGCGACGGTAAATTAGACTGTCCTAACGGAGCGGACGAAGGGCCTGGTTGCGATCTCGCCGAGTGCGCTCATCAGGGTGGATTATGCAGCAACGGATGCATCCGGACTCCGCTCGGGGCGCAGTGCATTTGTCCGGCTGGCGAGGAACTCACCACTGACGGCTACACGTGTCAGGATATGAACGAATGCGACTCGCCGGGAAGATGCTCGCAGATATGCGTGAACACCAAGGGTAGCTACTATTGCAACTGCGTGGACGGTTACACATTGCAGAAGGATAAGCACACATGCAAGGCGTACAACCACACCGCGGCGTTCCTGATCATCTCCAACAGACACACTATCCTGGTGGCTGACCTTCAGGATCAAGCGTTGGAACGAGTGCCCATCAACGTGGAGAATGTCGTAGCGACTGCCAGTAACATGCACACCGGCACCATTTTCTGGTCCGACATGAAGTTAAAGAGAATATCGCGACTGGATCGCGGTAGCGATCCTCAGGACATCATCAGTACCGGTTTGGATTTAGTGGAAGGTCTCGCTTATGACTGGATAGGTCAGAATCTGTATTGGTTAGACTCGAAGCTGAATACGATCGAAGTGGCCAAGGAGACTGGAGTTGGAAGGATGATTCTCGTGAAGGAGAATATCACGCAACCGCGTGGAATGTGTCTGGATCCTAGTCCAGGTGCAAAATGGCTGTTTTGGACCGACTGGGGTGAGAATCCTAGGATCGAGAGAATCGGAATGGACGGTACTAATCGATCAACCATCATCAGCACGAAGATCTATTGGCCTAACGGTCTGGCCTTAGATATTGCAAATCGAAGGATATATTTCGCGGATAGCAAGCTAGATTTTATCGACACTTGTCTCTACGACGGCAGCAAGAGGATCCAAGTTCTAGCCAGCTCGCATTATCTATTGCATCCTCACTCACTCACACTCTTCGAGGATACCATGTATTGGACCGATAGACAGCTCAACCGGGTGCTTTCAGCGCACAAGTTTAAGGGTTCCAATCAGACGGTGGTTTCACATCTCATCTCGCAACCACTTTCCATCCACGTGCATCATCCAGTATTGCAGCCTATCACTGCGAATCCTTGTGCTAACGTGTCTTGTGAACATCTCTGCCTTTTATCGCCCAGTAATCCATTGGGCTACAATTGCAAGTGTCAGGTAAGCAGTTATAGAGGATATAAGAAATGCTTGAACACGTTTTCTATATTGAGAGTGTATAATTTTTTTTTTCGTGTTTATACTCTAGGTTGGATTTAAATTATTGCCCGATGGACGCTGTATAGAAGAGGAGACTCCATACTTGATGGTTCTCCGAGGTTCTCAGGTCGTCGACGTTTCTTTGACACCCGGGGAAACTAAAACTGGATACATCACGCCTATTGTTGGCGTAGAGGGCGGAAGATTTATCGAATATGATAGAAGAGACCGTATCATTTATTGGTTGCAAGGTATGACAGAGCAAAGATAAATATTTTTTTTAATTACGGTTTAATATTTCTACTATTTTAATAATAATCTAATATTTTAATATATTATAAAACTTTAAAATATATTTGATATTTCATTATTAATTTAGATATAAATTAAAAAAATACATTAAAACGTGTTTTTAATTTTAGGCAAGGACGACGACAGTGAAAACGGTACAATTTATAGCATCCCTTACAAAGGTGGTAATCGAACGGAGTTCCCCAATCCTTCCGGCGACAGCGGTATCGTCGGTTCGCCATCCACGATGGCGCTAGATTGGCTTGGTCGCAATATGTTCATCGGCAATAAATTTGCCTCCAACATCGAGGCCATCAAACTGGACGGCAAGACGCGATTCCGTACGATTGTTTTGGCGAACGACGGCAACCGGACGTCGGTGTCTAAACCGAAAGCGATGTGCGTGGACCCCATCGACGGACAAGTGTTCTGGGTGGACGAGGGAGGCTTCGGAGTGCCGCAGAAGATTGGACGGGTGAACATGGACGGCACTAATCCGTTGATCCTCATGGACGACTTGGAGCGTCCCGAGGCCATCACCATCGACATTCCCAGCAAAACGCTGTACTTCTCCTCCCAGAACCCGGCTTTCATCAAAGCCATGTCGACGGACGGCCTGAACGTCCGCACCATTCTCACCGTCGCGAACAACATGGCCCTGCCCAAGGCTTTAGCCGTCCACGAGTCTCGTCTGTACTATTTGGACCCGCTTTACGACAAGATCGAGCGCGTTGATCTACCCAACGGCGACAATCCGTCCACTATCATCGACAACGATTCTGAGCTCCGTACCTTGACCATTTATAAGAAACGCGCCACTGGATCTCATCCCTGTCTCGTCAACAACGGCGATTGCGAGCAGATCTGCTTGCCTGCGTCCGGAGGTACTCGCGTCTGTGCCTGCGGAATGGATTACAGGAAGATCACCGACACCAGATGCGAGCCTTACAAGACATTCGCGGTGGTAAGTCAGCTGGACGTCGCCAGGGGTTACAGTCTTAAAGACTCCAAAGAGGCCATGATACCCATCACTGGAATCGGCCATCATATTCTACACGTGGACGTGCATTACTCGGGCAATTGGATATACTGGGTGGAATTTAATCGAGGCATCTGGAACGGTATCTTCAGGTAAGAGACAACGCTTGCGAATGTTTAGATGTCAAACTCTTCGACTGAATACATCATTGCTTTTGATTATCGTTTCAGAGTACGACCCAACGGCACAGAATTGCAACACGTAGTCAAACAAGGAATCGGTTCCAATGGAATTCGCGGTCTGGCCGTGGATTGGATCGCAGGAAACTTGTATTTCGCCAATGTCTTTCCTCACGATAACTACGTAGAGGTCTGCTGGCTGGACGGCTCGAATCGAAAGGTTCTCGTGAAAACGACCACCGACGCTCCTCGAGAGCTCGCCGTGAATCCAATCAAACGGTATCTGTATTGGATCGATTACGGACAATATCCTCGAATAGGCAAAGCTTACCTCGATGGCAGCAACTGGTCCCCTATTGTAACGTCCGGCATTACCACACCGCGCGATCTGACGATCGATCTCGCCACGCACGACATTTATTGGGTGGACTCGAAATTGGACACCATCCAGAAAGTGTCCTACACCGGTGGAAACCGAGAGATCATCCGTAGGAATCTCCCGAATCCGATGGGCGTCGCCATTTTCGGCGGCGACGTCTTCTGGGTGGACCGAAACCTGGCCACCGTTTTCAAGGCGAGCAAACTGAAGGGCAACATGAGCCTTCCCACCGCCGTCAGGACGAATCTGCAAAAGCTCAGGGATATCGCCATCTTTGATCAAAGCAGCCAACCCCCGGATCCTACGAATCCTTGCACGCAGGTATTGAAATGTTAATTAATTACAATTTTATTTACTCTAGGAGATTAGCAAACCTGTCTTTTAAAAGGAATTGAAAATTATTTTCCAAAGGAAAAATTAACGGAAGTAATTTTTATCCCAGGTACCAAACGGCGAATGCTCTCAACTGTGCTTCGCTTTCCCCAAAGAAAATCAGACCAAAGCATTTACTTGCGACTGCGCAGTGGGTAAACTCTCGTCTAATGGTCGCACCTGTGAAAATGTCGATGAATACTTGGTGTTTGCTACGCGAACCGAGATTCGCGCCATCAATATAGATCCGCACAACACTAACGTGCCCTTCGCGCCTGTCGGCAACCTGACAAACGTCGTCGGGGTGGACTTTGACTACCAGGATAAGAAGCTGCTCTTCACCCAGATCCGTCCATGGGCGAAGATCGCGTGGACACCGTCGGATCGGCCATCCTCCTCCGACTTGCACACGTTGATCAACAAAGGAATCAACCCTGAAGGTATCTCCTACGACTGGACCCAGAAGAAAGTGTACTGGACGGATTCCTCCAACAACAGCATCTACGCGATGGATATCGACGGGACCAACTTGGTGATGATCGCGCGCGTGGATCGGCCACGCGCCATCGTCGTCGACCCGTGCAACGGATCTCTCTACTTCACGGATTGGGGCCGTTTCGGAACGTCCGGCAAGATTTTCAAGACCACCATGGCGGGCTCGCTGAAACGCGCCATCATCGACAGGGATCTCTCGCAGCCCAGCGGCCTGGCGATCGATTACGACGATCGGATGCTGTACTGGACCGACGCCGTGCGCGAGAAGATCGAGCGATCCGATCTCGACGGCAGGCACCGGGAAGTTCTCGTCAGCGCTACCATCTACCCCTTCGCCATCACCGTCTTCAGGGAGCACATCTATTGGACGGATCTCCAGCTTCGCGGGGTCTACCGGGCGGAGAAGCACACGGGAGCCGACAAGCTGGAGCTGGTGAAACGGTTGGAAGACTCTCCGCGCGACCTTCACATATTCTCCGCGTCCAGGCAGCAGTGCACCGTCAATCCCTGCAACATCAACAACGGCGGTTGCGATCAGTCCTGCCATCCGGGCCACAACGGCTCCGCGGAGTGCAAGTGCGACGACAACAGCAGGCTCGTGAACGAGGACAGGATGTGCGTGCCGAGGAACGTCACTTGCGACTCCAACAAGTTTGCTTGCAGGAACGGCAGATGCATCTCCAGGATGTGGGCGTGCGACGGCGACGATGATTGCGGCGACGGCTCGGATGAAAACACCAGCTACTGCTGTAAGTATCAAATAAAATTCAATCCAATTCAAGTTATAGGTATACCAAATTGAATGGCTTAAATAATCTATAATAACTAATGATCATATGAGTTTGATCTTGAATGGCGTCGTCAAGGTCACGTAAAGGTCACCTTGGATTTTTTAAATGGAATTTTTTCATTAAGTACTCTTGTTTTGACATAAAATGTAAAATATTTTGTAAAATAATACCTTAATACTTTTATGCATGGAATAATGAGACCAATCAATTGGTGTGAAGAATTTTCCAGAGATACGGTTTGTTGAGATTGGTCGAATTTTCAGCTCATCATTCGTGCAGCCCGAACGAGTTCCGCTGCAACAACGGCCGGTGCATTTTCAAGACGTGGAAGTGCGATCACGAGAACGACTGCCGGGACGGAAGCGACGAGGAGGGATGCGTCTATCCGCCTTGCGCGATGGGCGAGTTCACCTGCGCCAACTTCCGGTGCATACCGCAGTCTCAGGTGTGCAACGGTATCAACGACTGCAAGGACAACGTCACTTCCGACGAGACCCACGAGCGCTGTCCTCGCAACACCACGTGCCCGTTGAATCATCTCAAGTGCGAGAAGACGAACATCTGCGTGGAGCCTTACTGGCTCTGCGACGGCGACAACGATTGCGGTGACAACAGCGACGAGAATCCGGTTCATTGCGCCCAGAGAACCTGTCCCCAGAACAGCTTCCGGTGTCCCAATCACAGGTCGACATTTGTATTTGATTTAACTATAATTTTTTAAATAATTATAGATATCCCAAGTAACAAATTGACGTCACTAAACATCAAAATGACGTATCCTTACAATCTGGGACATTTTTCAAAAACATTTGTTATGGTAAAGCTTGCTATAGAGAATTTATAGTTTGACAGAATTGTATTATTTTTTTGTACATTTTATTTATATAATAATAAATTATAAATATTAATAATATTAGTAATAATTAATTATAAATAGAATGTTGTCGCGAAAAATTATAGAGCGTCTGAAGAGCGTCTTTTACGAAAAACTTATGGCTTGTCATATATAGGTGTATTCCAGCCACCTGGTACTGCGACGGAGATGACGATTGTTTGGATGGAAGCGACGAGCCTCCTGGTTACTGTCAATCCGAGGGCAGAACATGTTTCGGCGATTTGTTCACTTGCGACAACGGCAACTGTATTCCTAGAATTTACATCTGCGACGGAGACAACGATTGTCTGGATAACTCCGATGAAGACGAGCGTCATCAATGTAGTAAGTTTGTCTTATACTCTCTTTCGTTTTTATTTGTAATATTCTCTTGCATTACAATGTTAAATTATTTTTTATTATTTATTATTAAATTTTTTGTTAAATTATTTATTGTACATATTAATTTTACATTAATATATATTTATTATACATATTAACGACATTGTTTCAATAGATGGCGTTAGTAGTTTTTGTTTTCTTTAAATTTAAAAAGTTCTGTTATTTTTCTGACATACTGTGTATGTTTTTTGATTATATATATGATATTTTGATGGATTAATTAAATTTCCAGACGACAGAAAGTGCGACGAAGAAACGGAGTTCACTTGCACCGCGAACAAAATGTGGAACCGCGCTCAGTGCATCCCGAAGAAGTGGCTGTGCGACGGAGACCCGGACTGCGTGGACGGGGCCGATGAGAACGTGACTTTGCACCACTGTCCGGCACCGACTCCCTGCGCGGAGAATCAATTCACCTGCAACAACGGACGGTGTCTGAATCGCAACTGGTTGTGCGACCATGACAACGATTGCGGCGACGGTAGCGATGAGGGCAAGTTCTGCAATTCTCAGTACAAGCCCTGTAGCAGCCAGGAGTTCACCTGTCAGAACTTCAAATGCATACGCAAGCAATTCCGCTGCGACGGTCAGGACGACTGCGGCGATCATTCGGACGAAGTAGGATGTGGTAAGTATAGAGATGAAGAATTGTGATTGATTCTTCAAATTATAACATGTCAGGAAAAAAATGAAAATTTCTAAATCTTAGATAATTAAAATGACGAAATATGATTGATAAAAATGAGCATCGCTTCCTTTTCAGCGTCCAGAGCAAAGAATACAACGTGCCCGAATCCGAAGGACTTTATGTGCTCAAACGGCAATTGCATCGACTCGCAACTGGTGTGCAACAAGGAACCGGACTGCGCCGACGAGAGCGACGAGTTGCACTGCAACGTGGACGAGTGCGCTCGTATCGAGATGAACCAGTGCGGGCACAAGTGTGTCGACACACCGACCAGCTACTACTGCGAGTGCAACCCCGGCTATAAATTGTTGGCCGACGGCAAGGCTTGCGACGACATCGACGAGTGCATTGAGACGCCCCAAGTGTGCAGCCAGCAATGCGAGAACACGCCCGGTGGATATTACTGCAAGTGTAACGAGCGTTGGTACGAGAGAGAGGCCGACGAGCACACGTGCAAGCGCAGAGATAACACTCAACCCTGGATTATATTCACGAATAAATATTACGTCAGAAATATGTCGATCGACGCGTCCAATTATAGCCTGATGCACCAGGATCTGGTCAACGTCGTTGCCCTGGATGCGGATTACGCCCAGCAGATATTGTACTTCTGCGATGTTACTGCGAAAACAATATACAGGTACGTCGGTGTTCTTCGCGTTAAGGTAAATAAGCGATTTCATTGATTTTAAAACTCCTGGATACTCACCGCGACCATTTTGGACTGATGACGTCAGAAACGAGAAAATATACTATAAAAATTCTTGCGACGTACGTGAAAATAAAAATGTTTTTCAATAAAATACCGGTTGAAATGGATAGAACACACTTATAAAATATACCGAAAACTCTCCTTTTGCTTGGGTTATCAATAAATAACATGCATATGTCGAATTAAATTGAGCCTAACCATAAGGACGAAAACCAGCTGTTTGACTGGTATCGAAAAAAAATTAATATTTGCTTTCACATATTAAATTATGCCAAAATGAGAGTCTTCGATATATTTTAACACCACGACAATTATTTTAAACACAAAAACACTGTACTAAAATGAAAAATAACGCTGTACGTCGCAAGAATCTTTTGGGCTCTCATTTTTTACTTAGAGAAAGAGACAGAACTATAATCCGCCTGATGTCGCTACCGTTGAAATTTGGAGTTCCACGGCGAGTATTCAAGAGTCTTAAGTCATTCGATTATGAGAATGAGAGAATTTATTATTATTATATAGCGATTAGAAAAATTATTTATTTATTTTCAAGTAAGAGCAGAGTCGAATTTGTAGATAGTATTTGTTGTCTTTTTACAAAATAAATAAATACGTTCTTTTATTTAGAGCACCGGTGAACGGCGGCGAAAGAGAACCCATCATCCGTCACGATAGTTTAGGTCTGGAAGGAATCGCGATCGATTGGATTGGTCGAAAATTGTACTGGCTGGATCGTCACGCGAAGCATCTGGACGTTGCCGAGCTCGATGGCACCAACAGAAAGACCCTGCAGTCTGGAATAGCGGATCCACGCGCGATCGCGGTTCACCCTGGCACTGGATACTTGTACTTCACATCTTGGCACCTTCAGGTTGGATATTAGTCGTATAAACGAAGCTGCGAAAGCTGATGCAAATTGTTTCTAATAATCATGTTTGAAATCTTAGGCGTACATCGGTAAGATGGGCATGGACGGCAGCAACTTCACCCGAATTCTGACATGGGAGGACGACATCGCTTGGCCGAACGCGTTGACAATCGATTACTTCACCGATCGCATCTTCTGGGCGGACGCGCACCTGGATTACATCGCCTTCGCCGATCTCGAGGGCCACAATCGGCGAATCGTTCTATCGGGGTCCTCGGTGCCGCACGTATTCGCCATCACCGTGTTCGATGACTTTATTTACTGGACCGATTGGAACCTGAAAGCGATCAGCAGAGCGGAGAAGTTCTCCGGCGCTCGTTTACAAGTGCTGCGCAACACCACGCATCGACCTTACGACATCCACGCCTATCATCCGCTTCGACAGTTGCCCTACAACAATCCCTGCGCGGAGAACAACGGCGGTTGCTCGCATCTCTGTCTCATCGCGCCCCCAGCTAGCTCGTACCTGCTCGAGGGATACGGTCAACCCGGTGTGACTTCGTACAAGTGCAAGTGTCCGAATCAATTCATCCTGGATAAAGACAGCAAGACGTGCATAGCGAACTGCACCGCGGGTCAGCATCGCTGCGGACCACCCGATGAGAAGTGCATCCCCTGGTATTGGAGGTGAGATATGAAAATATGTAATACGTAAATCGCGATTTCTTTAATTCAGAATTCAGGACGATAGGATGATCAAATAAAAATTCTTAATAAAATATTAATATAAAATATTAATATTAAAATGTTAATAAAATATTAATATTCTTAATAAAATAAAAATTGCACCGTAGATGCGACGGAGAGAAGGACTGCAAGGACGGTTCGGACGAGTCGTCGAGCTGCCCGGCCAGGAACTGTCGACCCAGCGTGTTCCAGTGCGCGAACGGAAATTGCACGCCCAGCGTGACCATCTGCGACGGAGTCGACGACTGCGGTGACAGGAGCGACGAGGCCAAATGCGCGCTCGAGTGCGGAGAGCTCGAGTTCAAGTGCAAGTCGAACGGTCGCTGCATACACGATTCTTGGAAGTGCGACGGAGACGCTGACTGCAGAGATGGCAGCGACGAGGATCCCGTTATTTGTCGTGAGTAGAGTTTCTTCATTACTTTTTTTCAATCAAATGGTATACAAATATTTTATTAATATTTTTAGAGGTTTATAAAAACTTAAATTTTATTTTTTTTTAACGTAAATTAAACATTAAAATATATCTTTTATTAAATGTTTTTGACTTTTCTCTTATTCCTTATTTTCTTCTGCATTTTTTCTGTTGGTTCAAATTCAGGATTACGTTATATTATTAAACTTCCAAGTTTGTGTTTTATATTGTTTCTAATAATATAAGCTATTCTTTTAATTCCTACTTCTAACATTAAAAACTGTAGATTTTCCTCTTTTCAACACAATTTTGGTTTTCTCAATAACTGCATGCATTCAAAAATGACATTCGTATACGAGTTCTGAATGATCCAATCTACTTTCTACATATTTGAATTCGCGTTAACCACGTGTATTCTCTTTCAGACAACCGCGCCTGCGACCCGAGCACCGAGTACAGTTGCAAGAACGGCAAGTGCATTCCCAAGCTGTGGATGTGCGATTCCGACAACGACTGCGGGGACGACAGCGACGAGCCGGCTTACATGTGCCGTCAGAAGAACTGCACGACCGGATGGCAGCGTTGCCCAGGTCACGCCAACTACCGCTGCATCCCCAAGTGGTTGTTCTGCGACGGCAAGGACGATTGCCGCGACGGTTCCGACGAGCGTCCGGAGAGCTGTCCGAAGTGCGACCCCAACATGGACTTCAAGTGCGCCAATAATCGATGCGTGCCGAAGCAGTGGCTCTGCGATTTCGCGGACGACTGCGGGGACGGAAGCGACGAGGTGGACGCGATATGCAAGGACAAGTACCGCGAGTGCTCCGAGTCCGAGTTCAAGTGCAAGAACGGCAAGTGCATCGCCTCCAGGTGGAGGTGCGACAACGAGGACGACTGCGGCGACAACAGCGACGAAATCGACTGTCAACAGTGGGTGTGCAAGGTACGTGGAACTAGGATCAGTGTGTACAGAAGGATTTCTTACCTATCATTTTCTAATGTATTTTCTCTCTTGTCCCGCAGAGCGAGAGCTTCCAATGCACCAGCGGTCATTGCATCGCGCCGTATCTTCGTTGCGACGGAGCGCGGGATTGTCATGATATGAGCGACGAACTGGGTTGTCCTCCTAGATATCCTGGAGGAAGGTACTGCCCGCGATCCCGATTCGAGTGCAGCAACAATCTCTGCATCTCTCTGACCGATATCTGCGACGGCACCGACGACTGCGGTGACAACTCCGACGAGAATCCAAGCATGTGTGGTGAGTTATTACTACCGAAGCTAATCAGCTGTCATTTTTTAATGCATGCAGTTATTGAGAAAACAAAAATTGTGTTGACAAGAGAAAGGTCTGCAGTTTTTAATGCATATAAATAAAATATTTGTATACCAGTTTATTTGATTGAAAAAAAAGTAATGAAAAAAGTTTCAGCAATTTCCTATTTACGCATTTTGCGCAAGAAGAGCGGAAAGTTAATGTTTTGTATGATATGTTTGTGCAGCGAACTTTGAGTGCGATACGCACAGACGATTCCAGTGCGCCAATCACAAGTGCATCGCCAGGTTCCAGCTGTGCGATGGAATCGACAACTGCGGCGACGGTTCCGACGAGAACAACATGACGATGTGCGTGAAGCAGACTCGTCCCTGCGACCCGATCTCCGAGTACACCTGCGCGAATAAGAAATGCATCGATCGTATAAGACTCTGCGACCTTGCGGACGACTGCGGCGACTTGTCGGACGAATTGGGATGCCGTGAGTCCTATTCACTCATTAGGGTTGCCATAGATCTGGAAAATCGGGAAAAGTCATGGAATTTTAAATTAGTCAGGGAAAACCTAGAAGAATCAGGGAAATGTGGAAATGAACCTGGAATTTTAAACTTTGCTCACCATTTCCCATAAATGCTCAATATTTGCATTTTGTACACTATAGTCCATGCATTAGCTATTATTTTTAAAATATATATTAAAAATTGTTCCTTTTTTGAAATTTAATGTAGAAATTAGATATATTTACCAATGTTAAGTTTAGTTCAATTTTAATATTTTTAGGGGTTTATAAAAACTTAAATTTTATTTTTTTTAACGTAAATTAAACATTAAAATATATCTTTTATTAAATGTTTTTAACTTTTCCTTATTTTTCTCTGCATTTTTTTCTGTTGGTTTAAATTTACGAGTACGTTATATTATTAAACTTCCAAGTTTGTGTTTGGTATTGTTTCTAATAATCTAAGCTATTCTTTCCTAATTCCTACTTCTATGGTAAATTTAAGGTTACACATATTGCGGTAATGGGAAATTTCCTCATTGTCGTCTGGAAAACATGGAAAAGTCAGGGAATTGCAAAATTCATTTTTTGTGGCAGTCCTGCTCATCCTCTTCCACTCGAAGGGTACCATAAGGTCTAACACTTGTTCGCCTTTTCAGATCACAGCCATCACTGTGCGGAGAACGATCGCGGCGGTTGCTCGCACGAGTGTCGCAACATCACGAACGGCGGCTACATCTGCGCCTGCTACCCCGGTTACATCATTTCACCGGACAATCGCAAGTTCTGCGTGGACATCGACGAGTGTCAGACCGATCAGCACCAGTGCTCTCACATCTGCACCAACTTGAACGGCTCGTACGCCTGCTCCTGCCGGCAAGGTTTCCATCTGTCAGACAGACATAGTGGCGTGTGTCGCGCCGAGGACGACAACGTCGTCGTGCTGTTCGCCAAAGGACCCGAACTTCGAGCCTACGACTTGCATACCAGGGAGGAGATGGACGTGATAGACAACGAGAAGAGAGTGCAAGCCATCGATTTCGATCCCAGGACGGAGTACGTTTTCTGGATTGACTCGCACGACAATACCATTAAGCGATCCTATATGGTGAACGCCAAAGAAGGCGAGGCCAAAATTGGACACGCGCAGGATCTCAATATGAAGAGTGAGTATTAGTTTCTCTCAAAGATTTCATTAAATCTCTCGAGCTTTCTCAAAGCTCTAATTTCGATTCTTATCGCTGTTTTTAAATCTATCCCTGCAAACACGGTATATAAATGTTATATACATGTAAGTATTCAAGCATGTTACACATGTAACATTTTTAATATAACATATATTACATTGTAGTTATATTGTCATTATATCCCAAGATAGCACTGACTTATCAATACATCAATGTGCTATTTGGTATATAATTACAATATAACTACAATGTAATATGTTATATTAAAAATGTTACATCTATGAGTGGGAAATTACAACTAACATGGATGTTACATGTAACGTACACGTTATATTACCTGTTACATTCCGTTTTATTATAGCAATGTAACAGTTATATATCGGTGTTTGTTGGAATGGAACTTCTTTAGATGTCTCAACAATATTCGCTAATAATATGAATTTTCAGTTGATTCTAAGCCGACAAGCTTAGCAGTGGATTGGATCTCTGGCAATTTGTACTGGAGCGAGGTTGACCAATCAGTCGTCACTCCTCAAGGTCAGATCATGATGTCCAAATCAGACGGCAGGTATCGACGTAGCATAGTCAGGATGAATCTCGAGCAACCGACGTCGGTGGTCGTGGATCCCGAGCGAGGCGAACTTCTGTGGGCCGACGCGGGAAATCAGCCAAAGATCGAAATAGCGTGGATGGACGGCGATAGACGCAAATTGCTCGTGGCCGATCGAATAGCCAGCCCTTCAGCGCTTACCATTGATTACGCAATGGAACACACGCTTTATTGGTCCGACGTTAAGCTAGATATTATCGAGGCGATCACCTTGACCGGCAACAACAGGAGAATCGTTCTGCGAGGCGCGGTACCGCTTAAGCATCCGGTGGCGTTGGACGTCTTTGAGAATAATCTCTATTGGGTGACCAGGCAGACGGGCGAGCTTATTCGACAGGATAAATTTGGCAGGGGAGTTCCGCATATTATCACCAAGGATCTTCCCAGTCCCGGTGGTCTCAGAGTCTATCATCAGCTGAGGTACAACACCAGTTTGAGAGATCCCTGCCACAACGACCAGTGCAGTCATCTCTGCGTAACGATTCCGGGCGGACATCGCTGCCTCTGCTCGGACAGCGTTGATCCTCTTCAGCGTCTGCTCAGGGACAACAACGAGAGGCATTGCGACGCCACCAATGAGAGACCTCTGCCAGCGCCCAGAATATGTCGTTGCCAGAACGGCGGACGGTGCCAGGAGGAGGAGGATGATAAGCTAACTTGTAATTGCCGTGAGGAATTCCACGGTGAACTCTGCGAGATGGCGGCGGTCGCCGCCAGAGCGGGCGGATCCACCGCTGCTATAGTCATTCCCATAGTCATATGCCTGCTGGTGTTGTTCTGCGCCGCCGCGATCTTCATGGTTCTCAAGAAGCGACCATTGTAAGTGTATTCACGAGCTTAGATGCAGTAAGACATCTTTTTTCTTTTATAAAACCTGATTATTATTTTTAGCGGCAAACCCGGCGGCCTCGGCGGTCTCACGGGTGCTCAGAGCGTCTCCTTCCGCCAAGGCAGCAACGTAGAGTTTGGCGAAGCTGTTCATGAAAGAATGGTAAGCTCTTTGCTCCGTTTGCTTTTCAACAAATTAATCCCATCAGTAGCATCGATATATCAATAATAAATATAACATATATATATATATATATATATATATATATATATTATATTATTATTATTATTATTTATATTATTATTATTATATTATTATATCATATATGATTGATATATAATATAATATATATCAATAATAAATTTTTTTTACATGAGAGTTATGATTATTTTATCCTTACAGGAACCCCTCGACGTAGAGTATAATTTGAACGATGTCGCCAGTAAGAACCGAGACTTCAGTAATCCAATGTACGACGCGGTGAATATGGAAAGTGGTACCACAAACGGTACCAGCGTTGGCAACATGTACGAAGCACCAGCCGAGATGAAACCCTCGAGCATACAGCACAAAGAACCCCCGCAGCTGCATCTAAAGAGGAGAGAACTGGACCCGACGTCCGTCGACTCGGGCAAGGACACCCAGCAGCTGGTCGAGGAGGACAAGTCCGAGTGCTAGGATTAATTTCTGTTTCTTTTTTTTTTATTGTGCTTCTCGAACTCGAATATGTGCAGATCGACATGTTTGACGACTGCGAGGAATATATACATAGGGACGAACGTAAAGATTAGTTCTACCACTTCTACGTAAATAGTGCGGATGACTTGCAGCTGCTCGTACGTTATTTATTAAGCTGTTCACTGAGACGTTTCTAACATGATGTGTGACGATTTAATTGAAGTTCCGTCTTATCTAGTGATTCTCGGATATGAGAATATCGAGATCTCTAGAATGGGAAAAGGATATCATACATTAAAGATCCTATATTGTCATGGATACAGGTTCTTAGGTTCACGAGTTTATAAAAGTTAGACTTATGTCAAATCTCTAAATTTTAATTCTAAATTTTCTTCACAATTTCTCTCTTTTTCTCTTAGGATTTGGGATAAAGAAATTTGAGAATGCTATTTTTGTAAAGATTCATAAGTCTACAACTTTGCGTATCCTTGCATCTAAGAACCTCGATACATATAGGTGTTCAACTTCCAAACTCTTCAGACCTAAGAATCTTTGAGAGGGAATCACAGATTCTTATCTCTGGATCCTTTATACCAGGAATTGTGAACTGGCTTTAGGATCTTGAAATTTTTCAAGAATACAGAAATGGTAAAACGGAAAATGGTCCCTAATCGACAATATTTCGATTTTGCGAGGACAGTAAAGGGCGAAAGCGAATTGCAATAGGCACGAGCGTGTCATTTTTTACTAGGTGTGTGATTTGTAAGTCTTGTAAATATTATTGCTAATAATAAAGTATAACGCGTTTACGTTATCTGTGTACCATAAAAAAAAACGCAACACATTCCATCTATTCTATTTCGAGGTTGCCGCTTGCAAAGCGTAACAATAACGTGGAACACTTTTTTCGAGAGCTAGAATGTGTATGTATATGTGCAGGTACGCGTGCAATTGTTCGCTGTGCTCGAATTGATGATGCATTTGATTCTTCAATAATCTTTTGAAACGTCTGTCATAATATATATTCTCTTTTTAATATTTTGTCGATATTTGTATTTTTGAACGTAACAAAAAAAGTATAAATAAATAATTCGTACTCAATTTTATTTGAAAAAATATGTTCAATTTCTAGATAATAGCTTATACTTGTAAAATATTAAAATTTAATCATTCAAGCATGTTGTAATATTGATTTTAATCATACAATTCGAGCACTTGTGATGTATGCGTCGAAATTAATTCTCAACTACAAATGAAAGGGATGAAAGATTTAATTTTTTTTCTCTGTAAAAAATCTAGAAAGTCCGAAAGTATTCTTTATTTTATTTTCCATATTATTTCATTCTCCTCTTTACGTAATATAAAATAAGAAAAGCGATTTTAATTAAAAGTTAACATATTATATTTTCATAAAATATTTTTCAGTCAATTATCAAACTTTTATCGAAGCTTATTCATTCTTAAAGATCCTACTCAATGACGATTGTATTATATTGAATTGTAATAGTTGAGTGTTAATGAAATACACGCATGCTTGTTTAAAAAACTGTATTCTTAGAGGGATATATTTTGAAAGGTATGACGTTATATAGTTTTTTATGTTGAAAAACGGCCTTCGAGATAGATATTTTACGCATGAACGTTATTAAGTGTTATTCTTGTGGATGTTATTGCAGAGAGAACGATCGATTTTACGACGAGAAAGAAGTATCTCTTCCACGGTGAATATATGTTCGGTGAATATGTGCTCGATCGACATGATTGTACATTTCCCTAGATATTAATGCGAGGTGTTCTTTTTGCAAAAGACGGCTGAATTAAAAGGAATCCACGAAAATTGACCTATTCTGCGAAGTCTACCTTCCAAACCGTCGAAATTAGATATTTTTTCTCAATATTTTTACGTAAATATTGAGTCCTATTCTTTCTTACTCATTAGCACAATTTTTTATAAAATTAGCAAAATTGTAATGTAACTAATATGATGGAAAAAGGGACAAAAGTGAAATGATTTTCAGCTGTATCTAGTTTACAGTTTTATAAAATTTTATATATATATATATATATGTATATATATATTATACGTGCGAGATAATTCAATTATAACGAGGCGATTAATATGGAACGAGTGTCTGTATTTCTTTTCTTCCTTTTAATGCAATCTTTTGCACGGTCAGTAAGCGTGTAATTCTTCTTCCGTACAAATCATTATTGTAACAATCCTTGTATTCTGATATGAATAATTTCCAAATGTTACGTTCCAAAGATGTCGCATTCTTCTGATCTTAATAAATGTTACTCAAATCGTTTAGATCTTCTTCGCACATAGTCCTAGTTTAAAAATTGGAAATCTTTTGATTTGTTGTAAATATTGTTCGAGAGAAAAGTGCTCTTGCTAAATAATATCTAGAATACAAGGATTGAATTTATATAAATTGAGAGGCCACCGCAAGAGCACGCTGTAAACACACGTTATTAATAAGGGAAGAGAATTATCGAGATACTGACCCGTCCTCCAAACAGATTATTATACATAAAAGTATACATAAATAAATAAATATATATATATTTTTTGTTGCAAATCGACTTTGACCTGGGCAGGGTTCCAGAGTGTCCTAATAATATTATAATATATCAGTATTCTCTGTATTTTTTTATCAAGTTGAAAAAAATAACAATTGTTAATATATTGTGCAAATATCAAACCAGATACCGTCCAAGAATAAATTTTAAAGCTGACAATCCAGTTTTCCCTATGCCTGCGAAATATATCGAACGCACACGTAATCGTTGCATATCCTTTATATATACGAGAACGTAAATTGCATTATTTCAGCAATTCTCGTTTCGCTTCCTAATTTTACATAATTTCTATTCGATTAATATACCTTTCTTTCACTAAATAATTTCATTATAATTTTGATACATTTATTAATACATTGCATTTATAATCGAATTAATTTCATTTGATCGAAATCTAATGATTTAACTAATGTAATCATTCGTATTAAAAAAGAAGTTTAAGGTATTTTTTAATGTAAGAGATATTATCATAAAAATTACTGAAAAATATATTTTTATATATAATATAAGCGTTTAATAAAATTTTAATTAAAAGAGCACATATACGCACATAATGAATGTGGAAAGTCTTAAAACTTTAATTAATATGAATAATTCTTTCTTATTATACGACAATAATATCACTATTTATACTGTTAGATATTTTACTTGCAATTGATAAGGAAGAATTGGAATTTATCTGTCGACGAGAAATCAACTTTGTTGGATATGTTGCACAATATGCATTTTCCATGTATTTTTCATTATATATCACCGTTTAGTGCATATCTATAAATGATTCAAGAACGCATATTTCGCATATAAATGTCAATGTATATTTTATTTTAGTTGCGGGATATCTTTTTCTAGTCTGGATATATTTATGGATACATCCGCGATATATAAAATTATCAATCGATTCTTGCTTCACGAAGGAACAATTAACATTTGAATTTCGCGCGCGCGCGCTATTTATGCGGAAAAAAAGCGCGAAGAATAATCGACTACGTTCACTTCGATTACAACTCGGCGTTGGCGCATCGCACAGGTGGGTGTTAAATTAATTTCGACGTTAACGTAGGAATTATATATCAGACAATTAATTTTTCGTCTATATTTATTATCGTTATCATTTCCGGAACGAGTGTAAACGGAATAACATATGTATATACATTATATACGAATCGCCGAATCGAATAAATTAGATAATGGAAGACCGTGATGTGTAAACTGACTCGTTTATTATTAATCAATTGGAAATGCGAGGATAAATAACGGAATATTCGAAACTATCAATATTTCATGAAGCATTAAACATTTACCGGCAAATCACATTTCGGGGCTATAACGAGTATTTTATTTATTTATTTATTTTTGCGCGCCGCTACGAATTTAAGGTTATTATTCAAGACGATAACCTTATGATTTTTTGTATTTTTTCAGATGATTTGAAGCAACAGCGAATTAAAGAAAGAATTTTTCTAGAAATTTATATATAATTATCTTGTACGATTAATTATAACTTCACGCTTAAGGATTTGTAAATGTATTAAATTCGTAAATGTATCGAGACGGTATAGCTATTTGTCGATAAATATTTTCATTCGAAGTAGAAATCGAAGCGATGGAGAGAATTGCTGCGGATTTCCCGATTTCGGGAGTGTCGTTAAAAAAAGTATTGTGCATACACAAGTGCGGGAGTGCCGTTAAAAATTTCGTTCGACCCTGATGACCTGAGAGATCTAAGAGGCAAAGCAGCTCTGTGGTAAATATAAATAATTTTTTTTATATTTTTTATATTAATTTTATTTATTAAAATTATGTAAAAACGCACGATTTTAATTTTAATTTTTTTAGGTGATTTAAACAACAGCGAATTAAAGAACAAATTTTTTTTATAGTAATTTATATATAATTAATTTTGTAAAAGTTTCTACTTTTAGAGGATTATAATTATATTTTTTATATAGAAATTATTATAAAGTTATTGTATAGTAGAATATTTCCAAACAAATTTATCAAATTAAAATTATTAATATCAAATTAATATTTTATTAATTTGCATATTATTAATATATGCATGAAATATGATATTCAATGCATATAATAATTTTTTAATATTTACTTTTATATTATATATAAAATAATCTTTTTTAATAATAAAATAAAATCAATTAAAATTTATAAAATATTAACATATTTTTTAAAATATTTATTATCTTGGGCGTTGTCATAATTTTAATCTTTTATTTGTATGTTACAGATAAAAACGTGACCTTACAATCTGAGAGGAGGAGGAGGAGGTCTAGGAAAGACATCGGGCATTCGCGGAATAACCCTGAGGTATTTATTATTTGTATATTAATTGTTATAAATTGCATTATAATACACGCATTAATTTAATTTATTTATTTGTATGATTCAAGCGAAAGAGGGAAAGAGAAGCAGAGAAAAAATATTATATAAATTTTGGAAAAAATTTTTACTTAATGAGAAGACATATTTTCAGAATTTATATAAAATTAATCCATTAAATATTTATTTATTATTACGCGCATCAAATATAAAATCCAATGCATATATTAATAAATTTTTAAATATTAATTATTTTGGATATTTCTACAATGTTGTTTTCTTTATGTTACAGATCAACGTATCTATCAACTCCACTGTTTTGCATCAATTGGTGAGTCAGAAACTTTTATTTTATTTTAAGGTAACGGAGATCGTAGAGATCGTAGATTATACATGGAGAAAATGTTAATAATGATAAAAATTACAATATATATAATTTTTATAATCGTAAAAGAGAGATTTTTACTTAATAATATTATACAGTACGTTTTATATTTTACAAAAGGCTATTGTACTTAATCAAATATTTTGATGCATAAAACAAATGCATCGTGAAAAATTTACAATTATATTTTATAGTAATGAATATTTCAATATCGTTATATTCCAGCTTTATAATAAACGTTGTAAAGGAGACTGCATTTTCGATATAATTTATATGTCATCAAATTTTTTCTGTAGATATAAAGATATGTAGAAATGTAGATCCGTTGCCTTAAAATGGATGGGCTAGCACAAATTAAATCGAGTAAATTTTAATAATTTTTTAACTTTAATATATTGCAGGAATAAATTAGAACAACAAATTAAAGAGAATATATATGATTTAAGAGAGTATTGATAGGCAAAAATCTTTTTTAAAATAACAAAATTTTATCTAATTTATTTAATAAAGAACGCTACTGATTGTATTAATTG